CCTGTAATCCCAGCACTTTGGGAAGCCAAAGTGGGTAGATCCCTTGAGCCCAGGAGTTCTACAGCAGCCTGGGCAACATGGCAAAATCCTGTCTCTATAGAAAATAAGAAAATTAGCTGGGCATGGTGGCTCGTGCCTCTGGTCCCAGCTACTCGGGAGGTTGAGGTGGGAGGATCAGCTGAGCCCAGGAGGTCAAGGCTGCCATAAGCCCGGATCGCACCTAGCCTGAGTGAGTCCTAGTCTCAAAAAAAAATTTATATATATATATATGGACATTGTTTGCTAATTATTAGCTACTGATATCCTTTTTTTTCTTATGGTTACAAGTGACACTAGTATCTTTCGTACTTATGTTTTCAGGATTAGGGTTCTGCTTAACGACCTTCCCATAATGTCTACATTTCTTTTGAAATTTGCTTGACACATTTTTTTTTAAAAGTCCACATGTTTTGTAAAGCACAGATTTAAAACAATTTTTAATCTATTTTTGGCCAATATTTGTAGGCAAATAGTTCCTAACTGAATAGTCTTTTTTGAATATTAAAGCCTAGTTCCAATAGCTTTATTTGATTATACACGCTGAAAAGCACGTATAATCTTGGAGTATTTGAGAAGTGTCTGTTTCATTCCTTACTGTTTTACCAATTGCAAAACAAATTTTTTTTTGAGATGGAGTTTCGCTCTTGTTGCCCAGGCTGGAGTGCAATGGTGTGATCTTGGCTTGGCACCATCTTGGCTCACTGCAAACTCTGCCTCCTGGGTTCAAGCAATTCTCCTGCCTCAGCCACCTGAGTAGCTGGGGTTACAGGCATGTGTCACCACGCCTGGCTAATTTTGTGTCTTTAGTAGAGTCGGGTTTTTTCCATGCTGGTCACGCTGCTCTTGAACTCTCAACCTTAGGTGATCCACCTGCCTTGCCCTCCCAAAGTGCTGGGATTATAGGCGTGAGCCACTTTGCCGGGCCCACAAAGTATTTTCTAAGTGATATTTATCTGACACTTTTAAAGGGAGAAGAATGTCCCACAGATGTCACTTGAGGCCTTGTTTCCAGAAGTGGCGTCCTGGAAATAACCACAGCTGTGAGCAATGGGCATCTCACGGTTTAATGTTATGGTCAGTGTGGCCTAGAAGTGAGCTCCAGCACCCTGCCGCCCTCCCAACACAGGACACTAAAGAGGCAACCAGAAAAGAAAAACAAGAATGGTTTCGGTTTCCAGACTATTTAAAAGGAGAGAATCTCTTATTTTTAAATTTAAATTTAAACTGATTTTTTTTAGAGACGTCTCATTTTGTTACCCAGGCCAGAGTGCAGTGACACCATCATAGCTCACTGCAACCTTGAACTCCTGGGCTCAAGTGATTCTCTCACCTCAGCCTCCCTAATAGGATGGCAGGCACATGCCACCACACCTGGCGATTTTTAAACTTTTTATGGAGACAAGGTCTCCCTATGTGGCCCAGGCTGGTCTTGAACTCCTGAACTCAAGTCATCCTCCCGGCCTTGACCTCCCAAATCACTGAGAGTATAGGTATGAGCCACTGTGGAAAGGAGAGAAACCTTTGAAATGCAAACAGACTTTTCTAGAAGCACACTTGGCTTCATCTCTCAAATTTACTCGATTCTGATTCTTTTTCCCACTCTATAAAACTCTTTTACAAAGCTGAATTTAAATGTATCGTTAAGATAGGTAATTTCCACTGTTATATCCTTCTCGGAGGTCACTTCCCCTTACCCACTGCTTGATACAACTTTTTTGAGGGGGTGCGCTCAAGGACATCATGGGACTAGACTGAGCTTTTTGAAAGCAGGGGCCGTTTCTTAGTCATCTTGGGTATCTGCATCACTTGTTGTGGGTGAATGAATGAGGATGGAATGAGTGATGTCTGCTCTGCTTTCACATGGCCATAAAGCTGCCATCCAGGTGCCCATTCCCAGGAGGAGGTGGGGTCCACAGTCTCCATCCCCAAACCTCCTCCCCTTCCTGGACCTTGGCTGGACCCCAAGTGTGGAGCAGCCCAGTCCAGGGAAGGGGTTACAGCTGGACAGCCCCCCCAAACAAAAAGCAAATTGCCCGAGCACTCCAGTCTGAGAACAGTGGGGCCAACATGCCAGAATGGAGGTGGAGAGAATGGAGAGGCAGGGGCATGAGCTCACCTCTACCCTGTGGCCAAGGAACGGGGGCGCAGGGAAGAAGGAAAGAAATGTGCTGGGCTCAGCAGGATAGGGCAGACCTGTGAGGGAAAGCGAGGAGGAGCTTGCAACGTTGGGCGGACAGGCAGGAAAAAGGTTTCCTTTCTTCAGAGGAAAAGGAAGGAGAGAGCCCAGTTTAAAAACAAAACCCTCACCTGTACCCTCCGTAACCAAAGATCCCGGGATGCCGATCCTCAACAGCGGAGAGTGGGCTGGGACACAGAGCGGTTCATCCACCCCGGAACTGCAAGCTGCGGGAGGAGCAGGTTTATGGGCCTTGAAACCCTCTGAGATGGGAGAGATAATATCCATAAAATCCAGGATTGCTAGAGAGCCGCAGACTTGCTTCTCCACATGGCTGAAAATAGAAACTAGGAAGTGAAATTAATAGAGCTGGGAATGAGAAAGAAACAAGGCCATGTGTGCATGTCTTTAAAGCTAGAAAATAATCACCACATCTTCTGAACACATTACATTCCCGGTGCTCGACTAAGCAATTTGCACTCATTTAATCTTCATATAACAATCTAAGGCGATGGATATTACAATCTTGTTTTATTGGTGAGGAAATTCTCTTGGAGAAGTTATTTACCACATAGCTGAGCCCAGTTCCAGCTGACTCAAAAGGGTACAAATTTAGTCACTATGTCAGTTGCTTTCAAACTTTGTTTGTTGTTTGTTTGTTTGTTTTTGAGACACAGTTTTGCTCCTGTTGCCCAGGCTGGAGTGCAATGGTGCAATCTCGGCTCACTGCAACCTCCACCTCCTGGGTTCAAGCAATTCTCCTGCCTCAGCGTCCCAAGTAGCTGGGATTACAGGCATGTGCCACCACTCCTGGCTAATTTTTTGTATTTAGTTGAGAAGGGGCTTCACCATGTTGGTTAGGCTGGTCTTGAACCCTGACCTCAGGTAATCCACCTGCCTCAGCCTCCCAAAGTGCTGGGATTACAGGCATGAGCCACCATGCCCAACCTGCTTTTAAGCTTTTTTTGATTAGGACCCACAGTAAGAAATATATTTTAGACCGGGCCTGGTGACTCACGCCTGTAATCCCAGCATTTTGGGAGGCAGAGGCAGGCGGATCACCTGAAGTCAGGAGTTCGAGACCAGCCTGGCCAATACGGCAAAACCCTGTCTCTCCTAAAAATACAAAAATGAATCGAGTGGGTGACAAATGCCTGTAATCCCAGCTACTCGGGAGGCTGAGGCAGGAGGATCGCTTGAACCTGGGAGGCAGAGATTGCAGTGAGCCAAGATTTGCCACTGCACTCCAGCCTGGGCGACAGAGTGAGACTCTGTCTCAAAAAAAAAAGATATTTTAGATTCTAAGTCAGCACACATACATATAATTGATAACTGAAAGGGAAATTTTATAAAATGTATGTACCCATACTAATTATTATAAAAAGAAGAACCTTGTTGAAAAAATTTAGCCAAGTTTATTTGAGCAAATAATGATTCATACTGGGTGTGGTGGCTAATGCCTGCAATCCAGCACTTTGGGAGGCTGAGGTGGGAGGATCACTTGAACCCAGGAGTCTGAGACCAGTCTGGGCAATATAGTGAAACCCTGTTTCCAAAAAAAAAAAAAAAATCAGGTACACCAGCATGGCGGTGCATGCTTGTGATCTCAGCTACTTGGGAGGCTGAGGCAATGGGGTCACTTGAGCCCAGGAGTTCCAGGCTACAGTGAGCTATGGTCATACCATTGCACACAGTCTGGGCGACAGTGAGACCCTGTAAAAAAAAAAAAAAAAAAAAAATTCATGAACCGGGCAGCACTTAGAAATAGGAAAGGTTCACAGAGCTCTACCCCGCAATGGACAGGCAGTATTTATAGACAGAAAAGGAAGTGACATACAGAAACAGCTTGATTGGTTACAGGTTGGTGTTTGCCGTATGCAGACATGATCTGCTCAGTTGGCAGCCTGTGATTGACTGAAGCTTAGCTGCTGTGGTTGGCCGAGACAGCTATTTGTTAGAAGAAGTTAGGTTACAGTTTGTTTACACACTAAGTGAAGTTGCACTTTGCTACATGCAGGCAGCTGTAGGCCAAATTTAATTTAACACTACAGAGCTTGCTAATATTTTCTATTCTATTCATTCTATTTTTTAGAAAGACATGCTTGTCACGGCCCACCAAGTTCATTTCATAATTCATTTATGGGACAGGACTCCCCAGTTGGAGGAACACTGCATTCTGCACTTTACCTCCCACTGGGGGAAGTCAGTACTGGGACCTAGGAGAGGGCTTTACCAGGCTCCCCTGACTTTCTGGGTAGAAAGGGTAAACAGCGACTTTGGATAAACAGGACCATAAGAGCATCTTCTTGATCACCCTAGTCCTGCAGAGTGAGAGAACTTGCATTGGAGACCTTTGAGGAAGGAATCTGGCAATGAATGATGAACAAATAATATGCAGTTATAAAAGGGAACTCCTGTGTTCACACCAGAGCAATTCACACTGGACTGATCTCCTTCACGTTTGAAATACTTCTCCTAGTACTAGAGACATGGTGCACCCAAATTTCAGCAAAGCATTTGATTCATTTCCTAGTAATAACCCTAAGAAGAATGTGGAAATGTGGGTGTGGCTAAGTGAATTTATTCCTGCCTGTCCCAAAGAGGACTCAAAAGAGATAATCCGGTCAGGGATGGTGGCTAACGTCTGTAATCTCAGCACTTTGGGGGGCCAAGCGGGCGGATCACTTGAGGTCAGGAGTTTGTGACCAGCCTGGCCAATATGATGAAACGCCATCTCTACTAAAATTACAACAAATTAGCCAGGCATGGTGGCACACATTTGTAGTCTCAGTTACTTGGGAGGCTGAGGTGGGAGAATTGCCGGAACCCAGGAGGTAGAGGCTGCAGTGAGCTGAGATCGTGCCATTATACTCTAGCCTGGGCGACAAAGTAAAACTTCATCTCAAAAAAAAAAAATAGATAATCTATAAAAGAGTGGTTTGTAAACAAAAGCACTCACAAGTGTGAGTTGTAATTTATATCTTATATATAATTTTTTTTTTGTGGGAGTGACAGTCTTGTTCTGTCACCCAGGCTGGAGTGCAGCGGCACGATCTCGGCTCACTGCAACCTCCGCCTCCTGGGTTCAGGTGATTCTTCTGCCTCAGCCTCCCAAGTAGCTTGGATTACAGGTACGTGCCACCATACCTGGTCTATATCATATATATATAATTGCCTCTGTCTCCTCCACTAGAATATGAACCCTTTGAGAGTACAGAATTCTTTCATTCACCACCTTTGTATTTCCAGCATTTAGCCTAAGGCCAGCCACTTAGATTCTTCTCAATAAATTTCGGAGGAATGCCATCATTAATTCATCAATATCTGCCTGAAAGAGGACCCTGGGGGCATGGTCCAGGGATCTGGCCGAAGTCCTCTCGTGTTCCGCATTCTCCCAGCTACTTGGACATGGAAATGGATGACATATTTATCAAAGTTTCAGGTGGCAAAAAACTGGGGCAGCCAAAGTACTGGATGACAAAATCAGGGTCCAAAAATAACTTTGCAGCCTGGAATGGTGGGCTGAACGAAGATGAAGAATAATAGAGATCTGTATTCTGCCTTTCTGTCTAAAACTTAGCTTCATAAGCACAGGATGAGGGGGTAGAATGATTTAACAGCAATACATGTGAGGAACTTGTGGTTTTTATTGCAAGCTAATGAATGAAGCAGCCGTGTGATAAGGTCACCAACTCTGCAGACTTAGACTGTGAGAATACAGGCTCAGTGAACAAAAGAGGGGGACCAGAATCCCTCTACTTTATGCAGGTTGAATGATGCTGGAAAAACTGGCTTTGTCTGAATGACAATTAATAAGGAAGATGTCAACAAATTGCAAACCGTCTAGAGGAGAACAATATGTTGAACTTGCCTGCGTCACAATTAAGGATTTCTATTAAGTAAAAGACACCATAAAAGTATTGGATGGATAATAAACTAGGAGAAGATATAACATGTAAAATTAACATGGAATTAGTACCTAGAGTATTTAAGGAACATCCACAAATCAACAAGAGAAAGCCAGGAGACTATAAGAGTGAAGGTCACAGGGAATGAGTAGGCATTTCACAGAAGAGGAAGCTTGAACTGCTACCAATGTAAGAAAAGACGCTAGGATTCACCACTAATCAAAGAAATTAAAACAACAGGACTTCCTTTTTCTGGTAATAGGAGTATAACTCTCTCAAGCAATCCTCCAGCTAAAAACAACTAAATAAGTTGAATAAAATACTGAAAACAGGCCAGGCATGGTGGCTCACGCCTGTAATCCCAGCACTTTGGGAAACCAAGTTGGGCAGATCACAGGAGGTCAGGAGTTTGAGACCAGCTTGGACAACATGATGAAACCGTGTCTCTACTAAAAATACAAAAATTAGCCAAGCATTGTGGCGGGCACCTGCAATCCCAGCTACTTGGGAGGCTAGACAGGAGAATTGCTTGAACCCGGGAGGCAGAGGCTGCAGTGAGCCAAGATCGCACCACTGCACTCCAGTCTGGACAACAGAACAAGACTCCATCTCAAAAAAAAAACAACAACAAAAAAATGAAAACATCTGCAAATAATTGACAAGGTGAAACAGCATCACTCTGTAGGCAACAGGAACCAAAGGAGAGGGGAGTCCAGAGGCTGTTCTCTCTCCAGGGAATTTTGCCCACCAGGGGAGGGTGGAGGGTCGAGCTTCTTTTGATGATGTATTTTTCTCTCCCTCCTTCCCTCCCTCCCTCCCTTCCTTCCTTTTTCTTTCTTCTTCTCTCTCTCTTTCTTCTTTTATTTTCTTTTTGTAGAGATAATGTCTCACTGTGTTGCCCAGGCTAGACTTGACCTCCTGGCCTCAAGCAATCCTCCTGCTTTGGCCTCCCAAAGTTCTGAGAACCACTGCGTCCAGCCCAATGGCCTCTTTCAATGAAAGGATCTGTCTCACAGCCCAGCACCATCCTAGGTGGGAAATCTATCAGGACATCCCCTTTTCCCCAGTGAACTAGAAGTGGACCAACCTGCCAGAATTACAGCCTGGTTCCTTTTGCCTGGATTATCCGGGGAACCCCCAAGCCTTGACTTTGGATAGCCCAAGACTGACAGTGCTCCCAAGCTCCTACCAGATGCAAACACAAATTCTCTGCAGAGGAAATCACCTTCATCTTGGCCCTTAAATTATTCCCACAAGTAATTTTTCATATATAATGACCAGCATATAGTCAAAGATAACTAGAGACACAAGGAAATTAGGCTTCAGGTCAGTGCCCTAGAAGTCCAATTTCTGCAGCTGTGGGACTCTAAATCTAACAGCTAGGGGCAGGGATGTCATAGAGTATGTGGCCACCAACAGCTATGTG